AAATGTATATATTTTTAAGTTGAGTTCTGTTTTCCCTAATAGGTTTACAATATGAGTGTGTGTGTGTGTGTGTGTGTAAGCGCATGTGTGCGTTACACGTGTATAGAGGTTACTCAACTTTAGTTTTCCCCAGCTTCCTCTTTCTTCTTAGATTTGGACAAATAACAAACAATACCTGATGAGTGATGAAACCAGCTCTTGTCTCTCACTCAGAATTCTTCCGATATCACAATTATGCATACCAATTATTATAGTGTATTGTCTCTCAGCTCCAAATGCAGGCTTATTTCCCCTTTTCTGTAAGATAACCATGTGTGTGTGTGTGTCTGTGTGTTCCCTGCTTGTTTGTGAAGCTTCACCCCTAAAAGTAGATGCTGCTTTCTGCATTTACTAGTTCTGAATTACTTAGAGCCTTGTTTTACCCTGTTTCATTATTAAAGCACCTTGTTCTAATTAATAATTCATTTTATTAGATTTTCCCTGTTCATACTACTGTTAGAGATCCTTTCCTCTGACTGGACTCTGATGACAAAGTATGTGCCCCTTTGTTGGTCTTGCAATTCACCAGACTTCCTCCAAGCCAACTATTGGTATGACTGAGTAAACAAGGTAAATAAAGATGGAAATAATGTAGAAAATCTGACATGACCAAAAGAATTCTATAGGACCATGTTAGGCTAGGTAATTCAAGGAAAATGAATCATTAGGAAAAAGGTCTAGGGCCTTCAAATGTCTCAAGAGCCTACCAAGATGTTAAATATGCACTTCATTTTAGGGAATATCTCTACATACAAGTGCACATGCACATTACACACACACACACACACACACCACAAAATAGAAGAGGAAAACTAAAAAATCAAAGTAATTTTTTATTTAAATGTTTCCAACTACAACTCTACTTTAACTCAATTTAACCTATATCATTTGGATTGTGAGTGAATTTTAATGTTTAATATAATGTGTAGTAGGGTCCTCCCAAATATGAAGCAGATCTGGAGCCTGCTAAAATGTTTTAAAGTTCTTGAGCTAGATTCACTGAAGAGGGCAAAATTTTTAATTCAATTCAGATGAAGGAGTTTAAATTTGTTCTGTTGCTAATGACCGCATACCTGACAACAGCTACCAGCTTTTTACTTTTATTTTTTGTGCATCAGCTTGTTAATATGTACCCTATTTTTAAGAATGACAGCAGCAAACAGAACCACAGACCCATAAACGCTGGGAGCATGATTGCCTGATAATGACTGCTTCACCCACACGTGGTCCTGTCCCAGTTCTGGGGCAGGCAGTCCTTAACCTTTGAGTCTTCAACTTCACATGTCAGCATTCCCTGAGCTGCATTTCACCTTGACATCAGTGGATTCCTTATGTTGAACTGTTAAGCTTTCATTCTTGCCGGAGAATTATAATGCTTTTCCCATTTTCTCCTTACTTGATTTTTTTCCCCAAAATTTAGGATTTATAAAAACATATAAATTTCCCAACAAATGCCTGCAAGGGATTTCTACATGGAAACACTTACTAAATGATCCTAAATGATCACAGTTTATTTTCCTTTTTTCTAAACTTCAGCTTTACTAAGATATAATGACAAATAAAATTATAAGCTATTTAAAGTGTACACAGTAGTGATTGATATACATATACATTGTGAAAGTATTCCCCCATCTTGTTAATTAACACATCCATCAACTTATATTTATCTTTTTGTGTGCGTGAAAACATTTAAGCTCTACTCTCTTAGCAAATTTCAATTATACAATAGTGTTATTAACTATAGTCACCATGTTTTACATTAGATCCTCAGACCTTATTCATCTTGTAGCTGAAAATTTATACTCTTTTACCAACCTCTCCCTATTAGCCCACCCCCAACCCCTGGCAACTACTTATCTACTCTCTGTTTCTGAGTTTGAATTTAAAAAAATTTATTCCATGTGTAAGTGATATCATACAGTTTTTGTGTTTCTCTGTTTGGCTTATTTCACTTAATACCCTCAATGTCCATCCATGTTACCACAAATCCAGGTTTTGTTTTTTTTTTTCCCATGGCCAAAAAATATTCACATATATGTAACATATGAATTATAGATGAACTACATATATGTATAATATATATAACATTTTCATATCTTGGCTCTTATGAATAATGCTGCAATGAACATGGGAGTGCAGAAATCTCTTTGAAATCTTGTTTTCATTTCCTTTGAATATATACCCAGAAATGGAATTAATGAATCATATAATAGTTCCATTTTTGGGGCTCCCGGGTGGCTCAGTCGGTTAAGCGTCTGCCTTCGGCTCAGGTCATGATCCCAGGGTCCTGGGACTGAGCCCTACATTGGGCTCCCTGCTCCGCAGGAAGCCTGCTTCTCCCTCTGCCTGCCGCTCCCCCTGCTTGTGCGCTTTCTCACCCTCTCTCAAATAAATAAATAAAATCTTAAAAAATGGGTTCCCTTTTTAAATTTTGAGAAAGCTCCTTACAGTTTTCCATAGTGGCTGCACCAATTTATATTTTCACCAACAGTGCACAAGTGTTCCTTTTTCTCCACATCATAGACAACACTTAATCTCTTGTCTTTTTAATGACAACCATACTAACAGGTGTGAGGTGATATCTCATGGTGGGAAAGACTTGCATTTTCCTGATGATCAGTAATGTTGGGTACTTGTCATGTATCTGTTGGCCATCTGTATATCTTCTTTGTAAAAATGTCTGTTCAGTTTGTCTTCCTTTTTTAAATAGGATTGTTTGGGGGATTTTTTTGCTATTGAGTTGTGTCAGTTCTTTATTTATTTTGGTTATTAACACCTTATCAGATATATGATTTACAAATATTTTCCCACATTGTGTAGGTTGCCTTTCCATTTTGTTGATGGTTTCTTTTTCTGTGAAAAAAGCTTTTCAGTTTAATGTAGTCCCACTTTTTTATTTTTGCCTTTGATCTCAGATCCAAAAAACCATTACTAAGACTGATGTCAAATGGCTCTCTCCCATGTTTTCTTCTAGTGGTCTTATGGTTTCAGTTGTTCTGTTCAAGACTTTATTCCGTTTTGAGTTGAAGCTACCTGCTTTCTAAATGTGTGTTAGTAATCCAACCGTATGGTGAGAACAAAGAGGAGAATTAGTCTAATCCATTGTCACCACTGGAAAAAAGTCACCTTACACATTTTGCCAAAATATGTATGAGTGAGCTTGTCCAAAACCTCCAGAAAACAAATATTTCATATGTATAAAAGAAGTATATATTTTTCTATTATTGATTTTTTAGGTAGAATAATTCCTTTTGCAAAAAAAATTAAAAATAAAAACCCAAAACACTAAAAGTGAGCACTAATATTAACAACACAAGATACACAACATTGAAAACTATGATATTTGGGGTCCTATATTATTTGCCTTTCTGTTTTGACAGGTAACAAGGCACCAAATATAATGATAAAAGAACTATGAATACACTATTTTGCTAGTTTTTCAGTGTCAGATGAAATTCTAACTCTCCTCGATTCCATATAGAGGTTAGGTGCTCATTCTCACTGTCTCTCTCTAATATTTGGGAGCATCTACTGAGACCAACTGCACAGATACATTGTCTTTATAGCCAACCAATAATGTTTGGAATGCATATTCTTGCTAAATATGTCTCCGTCACCTTTCAAGTTCCTGTACATTTAAAACTGACCTATGGAAAGAGGCAGATTAATATTTCAGGTCACAATAGAAGACTGCAGGGAGGAGGGAGGATTATGTTGAAAGTAAGATTTTTTTCTGTTGCTGTGGAATTGTGGCTAAAGCCTAGAGTCAAGAGGGGGAAAAAAACCACTTCAGTCTTCACGTTAGAATTTGAAAGAACTTCAAAGACCTGCCAGTGTTTGGTATCAACCATGTCCCCAAAGTTGGGGGTCAGTAGCCTTGTGCCACCTTACAGTTTCAGCCATCCAAGTCAATTTAAGAAAAGGACCATGAAGTCAGAGAAGAGACTCTGGTGGAAGACAAATGTTTTCAATGATAGAAATGGCATATCTGCTTTCTGAAGGAAAGGTAGAGAAGTCCCAATGAACTGGCTAATGTTTATTGATGTCTGCATTAAAGGAAAACTTAGTTTTTGTGTATTAATCCCAGTGAAAGGCCACCAAACTTGGTGTCCTTCCCCTTGGGTTGTCAGAGAAAGGGAAGAAGTTGGGGAAAAGTGGCATGATGGAGGATGACCAAGCAAAGAAAGGATAAGGGCATTTCCTCTAATTCTCACTTCCTGGGCCATAAGGAAGGTGGATGAAAAGTACTTCAACAAAAATTTCTATTACTGAGCACCATAGTTAGCAGTAGAAATGGAAGACCGAATACTAAAATTCTGATGCTTAATCACTAATTATCTATGATGTTTTAGCCTGCCAGTTTCTAACCCAACAGACTAATTTCCCTCTTTTTACCCATCTCATTTTAGAGAAAAATAAATACCAATTTCATTGAATCCAAGAATGTGAAGATTCTAGTTTTCTTTAGATTGATTTATATATGCCTACTATGTATGTAGCTTATAGGTATTGTATGTGTTTAGATAATTTGAGAAGGAACCCACCTCGCTGCCAATGGAAGGTTTGCATTTATAACACTGACCACGAGCACATTCTGTAAGAAGTGGTTGTCTACAAAACCATACAGATTTTACTTATCAAGGGCCAACCAGGTCCTTGAATCCTAGAAAATCGTTCTCGGTAACATAATTATTTGTATTTGACTAATTGTTTACCACACTGTAGCTAGGTAGGCAAGCTCTGAAAAGACTATAAAATGTAAAGGGTTAATATAAGCACTCAAGGAGGAATAGCATACCATTGATAGAAACAAGTATCCTTAACTCTCCAAGTATTTGGCTCAACTAGGCATGAGATAGACACATAATTCTATAACACTAAAAATGCATGTTTATTCTAACCTCCGCCCATATAATGGGAACATAATATAAAGTAAAAATACTATTTAATGAAAAACTCACCATATCTGTATCTGAGACAGGGCCAAAACTGGTCACGTAGATGTTAGTGAAGACTTCAGTAATACTGTCTGATATGAGAAAAAGAGATTAAATATAGATAATATATAATGAGAGCCACTGAAAGAGAAGGGGTCAAATACATGGAATGATTAGAAAGCTGTGTGATATTTAGGAATATTGCTTTTTACTTTCTTTTCAACCTTCACAAACAACAAAAATTTCTCTATTGCTCAATTATTTCATAGGTTCTCACAATCCCAAATGCTAAATGCTTAGAAGTATTATGGCATTCTTACTTGGAAACTATGCCTGATTTAGAGCATTCTGTTTTAAACATATTTCTGAGAATTAATAGTTTCTTAGAATTTCTCTTAACTGAACTACTTCACAATAAATTTACTACCAGTACTAAAAATATAGTGTGGTTAATACGGTTGCTGTTTGATATAGTCCTAAATTTGGTTTTTAAACTAAATATTTCAGATGGTACTTCATGATGGTAGAGGTTTAGTCTGTAGATTGGAAATTAGTATATCTTCTCAGTAAAGTACAGAAATGAATTGTTTATTAAAAACAAATATAATTCAAGTTAATGTAAAAAGCTTCATTATTCAGTGACATAAAAATAAAAGCAATTAACAGACATTAATCACAATGGATTACTTCCAAACAAACTTGCCTTTAAAGGTATTTACAAATGTATGGAATGTTAAGATTGACTTGAATTAGATTCAAATGTTATGTAACTTATTAACTGTAACACAGTTACCTGGACAGTTCTTTTAACCAGGTGATTTAGATCTTTGATTTTAAATAAGCCAAATGGTGATGGGGAAAGGATCAAAGAAAAGGATTGAAAAGAAAAATTCTTCCAATGTAACTGATAGAAAAAAGTAATACATCATTAATTTCTATCATCATGAACTGAATGCCTCATCTACAGTCAAATTTGTAATTCCACAGAAACAAGATCACAAAATATTTTTAATATTATACTGGACACTAATTCACAACCATAAAAGAGAGAGTAAACTAAGTCTGGGTATATTGTATCCACTAAGACCCAAATAAAAAGTCAAAAGGATTTTGAAATAACGGAGCAGACTTTGAATGCTTAGGCTTCAAATGTCTTGAAATATAATAATCTGCATGATGATCCTGTGAGGTAGGTTCTCTGTTAGGTGTCATTTCAGTCTGTACACATACACTTATGTACATACAGAAAGGTAAGGAAATGTGCCTAACAACCCACACTTGGTAGAGCAAATAGAGCCAGGTTTTAGAACCCAAGCAATCTGGCTCCTAAGCCCTAACGGTAAACCAAAGCTACAAGTGTTTTCTCATTAACTACATATTTCTATTCACCATAATACTCTGCACCAAAAACATGTAGTGTTCCAAATAAATATATTTATTCAGCTTTATTATTTCCTATTCTACTTTATTCCAAAAACTGTTCTCGTGAAATTTTACCACAAAACTCATTTGGGACATAAATATGTTTATAAAGTTAATTCTCAGCTGCCAGCTTCCCCAAAGACCTGTACAAGGTCAGCTTCACAGGCATGTAGCTTGTGCCGTCTCCTAGAGCCCTGTGCTCAGAAAAGCCCCACGCTTGCTTTAGTGTTCTGTTTTTCTCTCTTAAAATTCTTAATTACCTTTTGAATGAAGGGCCCTGCATTTTCATCTTGGACAAGGCCTCACAAATTATGTAGCTGGTCCTAGATGTGAATTATATATGCTATTAGAAAGAAATTATGAAAATGGGACCCAGGTTTGTTTGCTTTTTCCTCTTATTCATACCAAATCAATACTGTCACACTTATTCAATAAACAATTGAATAAAACTTTAGTCATTCTACTGATTTAAAATGTTCCAGGGAAGAAAAATGTAAATGCTGAGGTAGTCTTCACCCAAATGGAGGCAAATGAAATCATTCTCCTTAGTGTGGAGTAGCAAACTAGAGAAGAGAGATGACAAACTGTGTGAATATATTCATGCTAAGGATATGAAGAATATCCATTCTATGCCAAATGGCAAGTAAAGGGTACGGAAGGTGGTTATCAGTACCTTGTGGCTGCAGGGAAATGGCAGCTAAGAATCCAAAGAGAAAAATAAGATTACCCTCAAAGCTCTAAGCAATAAGAGCAACACCTAAAGACACAGAACACAGACACGCAAAATTACCTTAAATAAATGATTTCATGGTTTATCAACTTCATAAGCACAGTGAAAGAATGTATGTATTGCAAGGAATATTCTCCAGCTATGCAAGTTCAAAAAAAAAAAAAAAAAAAGGAAAATCAGCAAGGCAAACACTGACCATGAATACCCAATAGCTAGGAGATTGAGAAAGTGATTCTTGGTCGTTGCAACAGAGCTGTCAACAATCAACATGAATTAGTAAAATATTTTAGGGTGATGACTACGAATGTTTGATACATCTAACACAGTTTTCTAAGGTTCTATATTCAAAATGCTATCTTTGATTATGATTTGGCTTTCCATAAGAGAAGAGAGGGGAAAAGAAGGAAAGAGGGGGGGAGGAGAGAAGAAATAAGATTTTAAGCACATCGGTGATTTAGGGATCTTGTGACACTGATTTGTCAAAGTCCATAGTGTCTTCTGGTTAATTGTTGTTTTCCCATACGGATTTAGAACAGCGTTAAATTGTGTAGCTAATTAATACCTGTTAAAATACTCAGATCCGTGTGACAGATGTCTGTCACAGAGTAAACACATGAATTGATATTCTGGCAGCAACCTCCGTCTCTTCACTTTAAGTACCATGAGTTACCTTGTCAAGTCCTGATCACATTGAGTGGATTCACTTTGCACTGTCCTGAGACTCAGGGCCTTCACCTTGGCGACTGCCTCTTTCTCTTCCCTTCTTAGTTGATTGCTTACCTGCCTTTAAGTCTCTATTTAAATGTCCTCTCCAGAGCAGAGGTTCCCTATGCCCCCTGTATAAAGTAAGTCTGTTTCCCTCATTTTCTCCCTGACACTTCCTTTTCCTAGGACTTTTTAGAATTTGCCATTATTTTCATGCCTTAATGTTTTTTACTCACTTTTTGGTGTTGGTTTTGTTTGATCTATCTCCCCAGTCAGGATTCAGATTCATGAAAACAATGACTACGTCCTTTCTGTGCACTGTCCTATCACCAGTGCTTAGCACAATGTCTGCCACATATTGGGTGTCTTACGTTTGAATTAACAAATAATTTCTAATTACAATTCATGTAGAATATACATCTTTTCCCAAAATATTTCACCAACATTACAAATGGCCATGAAGAGCGAAATGGGTACTGTCAAACTGTAATGCCCAAACTATCCATTGATAGAAGGAGGCTGAAAGCCTAGGGAACTGGATCCCAGTGAAGAAACTTTACATCAAGCAAAAGGAAAAAAATGTATTTAGGGAAAGCACTATTTCAGTGGAAACCAAAATTTAACTTTTGAACAAACAGTAAATGGCTTTTAACAGAAACGTATACCATGAGTTACCTCAAAATAATTGCTTATAAGCTTAATTCTTGGCTTTAGAAATCCCAACAGCAAAATATGCAAAAGACGATCTTCTATATAGATTTTGCCAAAGGCAAAACACCATGAGGTTAATAATTAAGTACTGGAGGAGAAATAAGGACTGCATGTAGTAAAAGGTATGATCCTGGAACACCTGGGTGGCTCAGTAGGTTAAGCATCTGCCTTCAGCTCAGGTCCTGATCCCAGGGTCCTGGATCAGGCCCCCTCAGTGAGGAGCCTGCTTCTCCCTGCTCCCCCTGCTTGCACCCTCTCTCTCTCTGACAAATAAATAATAATGAAAATAAAATCTTTAAAAAAAAAAAAGGTGTGTGGGGCACCTGGGTGGCTCAGCCGTTAAGTGTCTGCGTTCGGCTCAGGTCATGATCCCAGGGTCCTGGGATCGAGCCCCGCATCGGGCTCCCTGCTCGGCCGAAAGCCTGCTTCTCCTTCTCCCACTCCCCCTGCTTGTGTTCCCTCTCTTGCTGTGTCTCTCTCTGTCAAATAAATAAATAAAATCTTAAAAAACAAAAAGGTGTGATCCTTAGGAACAATCATCGAATTCAGGATTTAAAAGGCAGTTATCATTGGGGAGAGAGAATGGGGAATAACCTGCTTAGGGTTACAGAGGGGGTTTCATGGTTTCTAATGTATTCTATTATTTTCCTTCTTTTAAAATTGATCTTAATTTTGGCAAATTCTAAGAGTTGATGAAGCTGGTCATGAAATAAATCATACAACTCTCTGTACTCTTTTGAACGTTTGAAATACTTCATAGAAAAAAATAATAAATGGCCCTGAAGGATATCCAAAATGAACATATAAGTAATTTCAAGAAGGGCTGAAATTAATTGATAAAAATTGTTCTTCATTGGATAATGCAGCATACAGTGAAATTCTACTGTTACTTAAATTTTAATAAACATACAGTGCAATACTGGTTTCAGGAGTAGAATTCAGTGATTCATCACTTAAATACAACACCCGGTGCACAATCACAAGTGCTCTCTTTAATACCTATCACCCATCTAGCTCATTCCCCAACTCACCTCCCTCCATCAACCCTCCGTTTGTTCTCTATCATTAAGAGTGTCTTATGGTTTGTTTCCCTCTCGCCTTTTTTTCCCCCTTCCCATATGTTCCTCTGCTTTGTTTCTTAAATTCCACAATGAGTGAAATCATGTTATTTGCCTTTCTTTGACTTATTTTTTAAGCAGAATACATTCTAGCTCCATCCACATCACTGCAAATGGCAAGACTTCATTCTTTTTGATGATCAAGTAATATTTCATCGTGTATACATACCAAACTCACTTTCAAAAATCCTTTGCAAAGAGTTTAGTTTGGTTCATGAATACAGTTAACATATGTAGGAAGGTTGGGGTATCAGGTTGTAAAGAAAGAGAAGATATATCAAAAGAGACCTGATGTGCCACAATGCTGAGGATATTATCTCTCTCTATATGGCAGCAGGGCATTCACTGAAGGACTCTGGGAGAATCTTACCTGCAAGGACACTGTACTATAAATGTTATGTTACAT